GAGTTTAATAATTCAGCCCCCTAAGTTTAAAAATTATTTAATTTGGGCCATTTAACTTCTGAATTTTTCAATTAAAGCCCTCAATGTTCATAATTAATTAAAATTGGCCCCAAAGTTTTAAATTTTTCAGATTTTAAATCCTAAAGTATTGAATTATCAACCCTTAGATCCCCAAAGTTTCCATAGGCATCTATTGATGCAAATTGGGGTTTCTCTTTCTCAAATTTCGGTACTAATACTTCTTTAAGAGGTATTAATTAAGGTTTAATTATTTGGGACAATCTAATTCAAAATTTTGGTAATCATTTATGAAAAATTAAGGTTGTCTAGCATTTTAAGTAAACTAATTGAAACAATATGTCATCAAAGTGACCTCTTTTGTGTAGATTGGTTTGTTTAGGATGCTTGGATGTTGTGTGTGTGTCTTTTCATGCTGAAATTAGCCGGCCCAAATGAAGGTTAATATCTAGCCGAATTGCATACACACTTGTGGTGATGAATGTGTGACAATTATAAGGTTTTCATGTGATTAATAAATCAATCCAAAGATGGGTTTATTATTCGACAGGAGTTATTATCAATGTTTGATCACTATACTGAGAGTACCACTTGCAATTAATATTACTGTCCAAAGACTTGATATTTTGCACTAGGTATCTTAAGATGAGATTTACCATTATTTGAATTTATCAATTATTAAATGTGGATATTTAATCGAGCATAATTAATCTTTTTTTTTTAATTTTATTCTCTCTACAGCCAGCTCATCTGCTACTATATCTGCCAATATTAATTCTATTCTCATACTTAATGGGACAAACTTCAAGGATTGGAAGGAGAACATATTGATTGTTCTTAGCTGTATGGATCTAAACTTTGCTCTTCGGATCGAGCAACACACTCCTCTTACGAAAGAAAGTTCACCTGATGAAAAGAATAACCTTGAGAAGTGGGATCGCTCAAATCGCGTGAGTCTAATGATCATTAAGCGCGGTATTTTGAAAGCCTTTAGAGGTGCAGATGCCGAAGAGGTATCTAATACCAAAGAGTTCCTTGCTGAAATTGAGAAGCGTTTTGCAAAAAATGATAAGGCTGAAACAAGCACTCTTTTGCAGAGCTTGATTTCAATGAAGTATAGAGGCAAGGGGACCATAAGGAAGTACATCATGGAGATGTCTCACATTGCTTCAAAACTTAAGGGACTAAAGCTCGAGTAGGCTGATGACTTGCTCGTCCATTTGGTATTGATCTCGCTTCCTGCGCATTTCAGTCAATTTAAGGTCAGTTATAACTGCCAGAACGAGAAATGGTTTCTAAATGAGCTCATTTCATATTGTGTGCAAGAGGAAGAAAGGTTGAAGCAAGAAAGGATTGAAAGTGCCACTTGGCAAGCACTTCTAAGGATAAGGTGATATGACCCACGAGTCGAGCCCGATGAAGGCAAGTGCGAGACGAGACCCATTGATAGTCGATGACGGACCAATGACGCGATCAAGGGCAAAGTAAGTGAAACAAGCGATGGGATTACTCGTTCAAGAAACCATTGATGGAACCATGTTCGGGGCTCAAAATAGAGCAACTTTCATATTCGGTTCGAAAGCCGAATCAACTTGGATCAATTTAATAACGAAGGCCAAAACCATAGAGAAGTTTCAAGCCTATGCGGTCGCATAGGCCAAAGTGGCTCGCGATCGCATGGAGGCTTACTGAAACTCAAATGAGGCAACTTGCTTGAACTATGCGATCGCATAGAAATGAGCGCCGCGGTCGCATAGGCCAAATTTTTGGCGAATTTTCTATTTTTGGTATTTTTCCATATTTTGTTAGATTTTTATTCTTTTCCATATTTTGGGGATTATGCTCGATTTTTGCACGCTTTTTACCTAGTTTTTAAGTTTAGTATAAATAGGAGTTTTCATACAATTGTAAGAAACTTTTGACATATTTGATATTGAATTAAAGTGAGGCGTATTGTCTTATCTTCATCGTTCTTCATTGAAAAATTTCGAACTTATCAAGTGTTAACTTGTGACGTTCAAACAATCGGATTCAATTCTTGGATTGTGTGATCAAGGGGTCTTTCAAGCGTCGTTCTTGTTGAGTTTTTTGGTTCGACTTTCTTTTGGATTAATCATAAACTCTTGGATTAATTTGGCTTTCTTGGGTTCGTCAATCTCGTTGTGGGTTTCGTTGTCAACGTTGCTACGGGGTTCGCATCAGTTGGTATCAGAGTTAGGCTCCAAATTAATTGAAGGTTATATCTTTTCGTTACTTGTTAAGTCTTTTCTTATTTTTCTTCATTTTTCCCAATTTCTATTATAGTTCCTCGTGTCGTTAAGTCTTTCTATTTCTTCTTCGTCATTCTTGTGTTCTTCGTCGTTTGAGTCATTCTTGTATCGTTAAATTATCGTCAATTTCAATTCATTGAGTTGTTGGTAGTTTAATAGTATTTCCTTACAAAAGGTTAAAAAAAAAAGTAAAAAAAAAAAGGTATTGTTCATCGTTCAGTTACTGTTCATCCGTATAATACACAAAAAAAATTGATATTATTATTCTTATTTTTTTACTACCAACACAAAAACAACTCTCGAATTGTGTGATTTGGGTTATTCTATTGTGTCAATTCTTCACTTTACTATTGAGTCTATTCACATATTCTTGTCAAAACAATCATCCATTCCACCTAATTCAATTCCTTGAGTCTCGTGGTTCTTAGTTATTATTCGGTTTGTTGAATTCTCGGTAAAATACTTGATTTAGTTCACGTGGTTCTTTGAAATGCTTGGAGGGAGATTTTGAGTGGTAAGAGGCCGAGTGGTGAGTTTAATAGAGGGAAAAAGCCATATTTGAGTGTTTTCGAGTGATATATTTGTGAGGCATATAAATTTGTGTGACATGATGTCGGAAATAGAAGGTTCCAACTCAAGCCGAAACGGTAATGACAGCAACGGAGGTTTGAATGGGTACTTGGTGATGTTAGGGAGAATGTGGATAGGCAAAGGGAGTGGATGGTGTAAATAGGCACCACAATCGCTAATCTTAGCCGGGGACAAGTGGAGATGTCTAATATTAGGGGGTCGAGTAGGCGTGAATCTAGAAGAGGAAGGCGGTATGAGTATCGTAGTGATGAGGATGATTTTGATGAAAATGACATCGATATGGGTCGAGCGAGGCATAGGGGCGATAGGATGGAAAGACGCGGTATAAATAAGTTGGGAGATGAAGTAGATGGAAATTTGGGGAGTATTAAAATGACTATTCCACAATTTAAGGGGAGAAACGATCTGGAAGCATATTAGAGTGGGAAAGGAAGGTTGAGATGATTTTTGAGTGCTATAATTATTCGAAGAAGAAAAAGGTAAAATTGGCAGTGATTGAATTTGTGGATTACGCGATATCTTGGTGGGATCAAGTACTTACATCACGACGTAGGGGTCGGGAAAGGCCAATTAGCACTTGGGATAAGTTGAAGACGTTGATGAGGAGGAGGTTTGTTCCGAGTCACTATTATAGGGAAATCCATCAAAAATTACAAGGTTTGTATCAAGGGTCGAAAAGCGTAGAGGATTATCACAAGGAGATGAAAATTCTTATGATTCAGGCTAATGTGGAGGAAGATCGGGAAGCTACCATGACACGGTTCTTGAATGGGTTAAATCGGGATATCGCAAACGTTGTAGAGTTGCAACACTATGTGGAAATCGAAGACATGTTACATGTGACAATGAAGATCAAGAGGAATTGAAGAGGAAGGGGACGTCAAGGCAATTGTTGGGTACTTCGAATTCTAATTCAATATGAAAATCGAAGTGGGACGACAACAACAAAAACGGGGCAACACCTAGAGGTAAAAGTGATTGGCAAAATGGTAAGGATGAAAACGCTAGCAAACCAATATCAAAACTAGAGGCACAATCGTCGTGCAATCGGGACATCAAATGTTTTAGGTGTTTGGGAACAGGGCATATTGCTTCTCAATACCCAAACAAACGGGCGATGGTGTTGCGGGATAATGGGGAGATAGTGAGCGATAGTGATGGCGAGTTTGATGACATGTCGGTGTTGGAAGATGTTAGTGAAGAAGAAAAAGTTGAAAGGCCAGTTGGGGATCTACTAATCACGAGACGATCTCTTACTACTTGCGTTAAAGCAGATGACTTGGAGTTGCAAAGGGAGAACATTTTCCATACTCGATGTCAAGTCAACAGTATGGTATGTAGTGTTATAATTGATGGTGGTAGTTGCACTAATGTAGCGAGCGTAACTCTTGTAGAAAAGTTGGGTTTAACACCGTTGAGACACCCGAGACCTTATAAATTGCAATGGTTGCATGAGAGTGTCGAGGTGAGGGTGAATCGAATAGTGTTAATTAATTTGTCAATTGGGAGTTATAAGGATGAGTTAGTGTGTGATGTGGTGCCAATGCAAGCGGGACATATTTTATTGGGACGACCATGGCAATACGATAGGAAGAGTATGCATGATGGGTACAAAAATTGATATAGTTTCATTAAGGATGGAAGGACCATTACTCTTGTGTCATTAACACCGGCGCAAGTCTATGAGAATCAATTAAAATTGAGAAGTGAGGAAGAGAGGAGAGCCAAGGAGTCAGAAAAAATGAGAGAAAGTGGTGAGTTAGAGAAAAAGAGAGAAAATGTTGAGATAGCCACTGGAGAGAAAAAAGAGAGAGCAGTCACAAGAGAGAAAAGAAAGAGAGTGTTCCGAAAGAAGAGAGAAAACATGAGCGAATTTCTTTGCAAAAAAGAGTGATTTGAGGAGGGCGGTAGTTGAGAGAAAA